TGAATATAATTTATATATGTTTATATAGATAACACTCTATCTTTCATAGATAACATTCGTTTTATGAGCTTGTATGTAGCTCAGAGATTCTCATTAATTGTTGCAGTCTCAAGAGCGATTTCTTTAAATAAATAAAGCATTTGTAAGGAACTAAAGTAAAATAAGGCACTTTATAGAATAAAACCACTAATTAGAAAATATTCTTGCAACCACTGCACTTTGAAATTGAGTGACTTTGACCTAAACGAACAGTTTGTTCTTCATCAAATTCCAACATCCCATTGTCATGACGTCTCTGTAAACAACTATTAATTATGCAACTGAATAGCCTGAGACTTTAAATTTATAAATATCTATTTTAAGCCTTTTTACCTTTAGTTCAGTTGCAAGACATAAAAAGGCATCTTCAATATTTGTATTATCTTTTGCACTTGCTTCTAGTACAAAAAGAACTTCAGGCATGTATTGACACATTGCCTCAGCTTCTTCGAATTCTACTTCTCTTAAATTCTCTAAATCGGCTTTGTTTCCTACCAGTGCCATTAAAACTGTACTTCCAGAGTACCTTCTAACTTCCTCCACCCACCTTGCTACTGATAAAAATGAAGACCTTTTTGTAATATCATAGACTATAATTACGCCATTAGCAGATCTATAATAACTCTGAGTTATAGTACGAAATCGCTCTTGGCCTGCAGTATCCCAAATTTGAAGCTAGAATAAAGCCACAATGCTTGATAGAATTCTATGCATACAAGCAGTTATAGTATTGTTTCTAGTTGTAAGTAACATTGTAGTACCTTAACACGTTTTCCTTCAACCATTACTGTTTTCATTGAAAAATCCACTCCTATTGTATTACCATGTCTTTCAATAAAAGTTCCATTTTTAAATCTTTGAACCACACACGTTTTACCAGTGCCACAGTCGCCTATAAGTACTATTTTAAACAAAAAATCGAACTGGTCATCATTATTGATAGTCATCAAAGTATTTGGATTCCTAGACATCGTCGAAAGCAATACAACAGTTTTTTGTTTTATTCCTACATACTGTTAATCTACGCAACTTAACGGTAATTTTAGGTTATAATATTTATAATTTGGGTTAATTTGACAGTTACAAATTCAATAATACGAATTGGAAGTGTTCACTGCATTAACTGATATAGTTATTTGAATCGAATAATATCAAACTAAATAATATTTAGTATATACTGTTTTTTGATTGCCGGTCACATTTGATTATGTTGTTTCAAATTCAAACTTTTGATTTTTGAAATCAATTAAGCAATAAATTTTCGATATAGTTTATTTTTTATATTTTTTTCAATACGTAATAAAGTTTTATTGATAAAAAAGAACATTTCCATCTATACCATATAACAAATTAAATGAAATTTTTAATTAAATTTCGATATGAAATATCTAGTAAATATTGTTGATCATTTGAGGATAAATTATAAGCCTCAGCATATTACAATAGAATGCAACTTTAAATAATGTTGGACAACATGACAACTTATTTAGATGGAACATCAGAATTGGTAAATTTAAGTTTTGTTATTTGGTATCTTCAAATTCTTTTCGTGTTCGGTGTCACTTTTAGCGGTTGAACCCCTCCCGGCATTATATTTTATAAGAAAAACAGTAATTTTTTATTCTAAAGGTAAGAAATATTTAAATTAAATTTGTTTTGTGGTTTAGAAAAAGCATTTTTACAAGTAACTTTGATATATTAATACTCTAGGTCGTAATAGGTTACATGTATTATTCTTCGTTTTTTACCCCTTATGCATGATTTATATTTTTAGATTTCCTTTGCTTGTTTAGAATTTTTTTTAGATTACAGTAATTCCGTGATTTTTTTCATGTAGTAGGCATTTGTTTTAAAATAAAATGCCTTGCTAACTGAAATTCGTTGTTTGACAGTTTCGAATTTTTCTTTCTTGATTAAATTTCGTATTGTAACGGTATTGTGGTCCAAATTATAGTTAAAATAATTAGCATTGTAAGTACTAAGTACTGTTATAAATATTTTGTTTATAATTTTACTCAAGTCACATTTCTAACTTGTAGTGAATGACGCCCGATATTGTCATTGTTTTTATTTTTTTTTTCGTGTTTTCTTTCATATTTCAATTTCATTTATGTCGTTGGGAAGAGGGAAGTATTTTTAAAAGTTATTTAAAACGTATTTTGTTATACAGGAAAATGGCTGTAAATGTTTACAATACAAGTGTTTCTGCTGAAAATCTTTCTCGTCATGATATGTTAGCTTGGGTGAATGACTGTCTTCAAAGTCACTTTCAAAAAATTGAAGAGTTATGCACAGGAGCAGCTTACTGCCAATTCATGGACATGCTCTTTCCAGGCTCTGTGCAATTAAAAAAAGTCAAATTTCGAACAAATTTAGAACATGAGTATATTCAGAATTTCAAAGTTTTACAGGCCTCGTTTAAGAAAATGGGTGTGGATAAGGTAAGAGTGAAATTTTGTATTATAGCTGTATAATTGTCAGTTTTATTTATAAGGGTATATTTTTGTACTGATGGCAAAGATGATTAAAAGGCGAAGATGATCTGAAAAGTAGAATTCCTGCTTTTTGCAGTGAGTTCCTTTTTAGGCTGTGATATTTAAACACCCTGCTGAGCAGTACAATAATTAATAAATATGATGAATCGAAGGTCGAGTCTGATTTAAGGAAAGTTGAGTTCCTATAGAGTTCCTTTCCTTATAATATGATCAGTGAAGCGTTTTCTGAATTTAAAGTTAAATTCCAAATGGCAAAATAAGTTAATACTTTTGTATCCGTTATACATATACCTACTTGCTTAACATTCTTTTATTCATCATTATGTACATTTTTTTGAATTAGTAGCGATAACCGATGTATGTGTTTTTGGTACTTTCGCTACCGTTCCGCAGGTAATTCCAGTGGACAGGTTAATAAAGGGCCGTTTTCAAGATAACTTCGAGTTTTTGCAGTGGTTCAAGAAATTCTTTGACGCGAATTACGACGGTAATGAGTACAATGCGTTGGAGGCCCGTGGCCACATTGCTCTGGGTTCGGGGATGCACGACCATGGCGGCCTCATGCAACCACATCACCATCACCCACAGCAACACCACATGGCCTCCAAGCAGTACCACGCCACTCCTAGACAGGGTAAAAATGTAACATGTACAGCGACTGTCTTGCATGTTATTATTATACCCTTTAACGTTGCTCGTTTTAATTTGCACTGCGCACTCTGCATAATCGTCTTATGTTCATTACACAAACGTTTCTTATTGTGTTATTTTTGCAATATTTACAACATGTTCCCAAAAGAAAATTAAATTTATTTTTATTTTAAATTTTCATTATTATTACTTGGAAAAAATTGTAACTAACGGAATATTGTAAACATTGCAATTTTTAATTGTAAATATTTAGCCTGAGAGCAGAGAGCAGTTGGCAGTTCTGGCGTTTGGAGGCTATCGCTACAGTCTTTTGTTCATATTTTTTTAATATATTTTCTTTTACCACTATTTTTGCACGCAATTTTATTTTACTTTTTTTAATTGCCTCCTGGTAGATAGTGCCTATAGACAGGCTGGTTAAGGGACGCTTCCAAGACAATTTCGAGTTCCTTCAATGGTTTAAGAAATTCTTCGATGCTAACTATAAAGGAGAAGCTTATGACCCACTGGGCATGCGAAACGGGGAGATGCTGGGGGGTTCCGGCGGGGCGGCGCCGAGGGGAGCCACGATGCTCACAAAGCGTTCTCAACTAAACTCGCCCACTAAAAAACCCGTTGGTAAAGCCAGTACGTTGCGATTTTTTGGTGTTCTACGTATATATTTGTGCTTGCTGATTGATTTTTTTATTACCATTGTTTGTCAGTTTTGTTTTGAAATCGCAATAATCATTCCCTGAATGCTATTTTTCGAATGTTTGTTTGCCACAGAAAATGCATTGCATTTATATTACACTAAATTATTATTAATAATATCGATAAATTTGAAATACTTCATTTTTAACGTTATCAACTGCCTATATGCAACTAATTAATTCGTGTTACCTTGAGTTGCTCTAATAATATTTAAAGATAAAATTTTTGGATTAGACTTTTCATTGCTAACTTTGCAATTTTTTTTGTTTTATGTGTGTTGTTAATTCCTGATTTTAAAGCCATAGTGTCAACAGGCCCCCCATCTTCAGAATTATCGGCGCAAAGAAGTCAAAGTAAGAATCGTTTTCTCCATTCTGTTTACTCTGTGTAACTATAAAAATAGTAAAAACATTGTATGTGTTGATATTAAAAAGGGGTAATTTTTTATCACGTATTGTCTGTCAGAGGTGTTTGTCAAAAACTGTTGTTAATCATGTTCCATGTTGCATGTTATATTTTAGATTGAGCCAAACAGAAAATTTGGATATTATCTAATTGGCATTATCAATATTATTTCCACTTATCTAAATCATATGTATACACGTCTTTCTTGTATTAGTTATTAATTTTTAGGTGGGGGTTAAATTGCATGGTTTTAAAGAGTCAATGTTAGATGAAACCCTACTCTAACGATCTGTGACAAATTAAATAATTTCATAAACTACAGTTTTATATAAATTTCAGCTTAAGTGCAAAATTAGTTTAATGCTAGAATAATGTTAATTTAAAAATTGTTTTTTAAGTTATAAGCGTTTTCTGAAATTTTAGTGCCGACCAAGGTGAACGCTGCTGCAAAACCGAAACCGCTATCGAATGTGAACAGTCGTGGAGACGCAAATGCCAGCAAAATAGAAGAGTTATCAAACCAAATTTTGGAATTAAAGGTAATAATTTGAGATAATCGACTATTACATACAAAACAGAAGTAGAATAGTAAATGTAAATTGTATTTTTAGATGAGCGTTGAAGGTTTGGAGAAAGAGAGGGACTTCTATTTTGGTAAATTGAGAGACATTGAGGTGATGTGCCAGGAAAATGATGAAAACAATCCGATCATTCAAAAGATTTTGGATGTTCTCTATGCAACAGAGGTATGCTTTCTAATAAAGGAATTGTATTTAGCAATTAACGAAATCAAAAATAATGGGGGCATATTTTTATCTTGAAAAATTTCCTCTATAACTTTTCTTTAAAACTAGTTCGTTCAGTGCCTATTTTAAAAGTTGTGGCGTATTGAAAATATTAATCTTTCAAAATCCTAAATAAGAATGTGACGTGTTTTTTAAACGGTGTTGTTTTTTCTCTTTTTGTAATTTTAGTAAAAATTAAAATTAAATGTACAGAGATAATACTTCCATTACAATGCTTAGTGTCTTGTTTGTGAATTTTAGGAAGGATTTGCTCCTCCGGATGAAGCGGAAGGTTTACCTGGCGAAGAGGACGAGTATTGATTGGACAATTGACTACATCGCTTTTTCTTGTAAGCCGTGTGTTATCAGTGGCTTCTGTCGCACCAACTTTTTTATACTCGCAATCGTAAATTTGTAACTCTATGTTGTATTAATTGGCCTTTTAAATAATTATTTCTTGGAAAAACACTCTTCATCTGTCTTGATTTAACGAAATCGTCAAAAATAAATCATCGTAATATCACCGAGTAAAGCAACGGCGATTTTTTTTCAGACTTTGGTTTGTCCTTGTAAATACTGCATGTTATTGTACACTATTTTTATTATTATTAAATCTCTGTAGCCATTTTCGTTATTCTATCTTTATTGGTTGTTGAAAAATTGTTCTCATCATTGCCCCGCTTTGAAGATGACAGATCTGTCTTACTGTGCATGGTATTGATTGTAAAATTTAGACAAAATATTTATGTATTTGCAGTTGATCAAAAAAGATATGTAAGTAAATGCAGTTGAAGAAATTTGTATTTTTATTAGAAAACTAAAAAGCAACATTACAAGTGACCTTAATTTTTTTAAATAAAGAAGTAATCACGAAAATGATAATTCTGCACTATTTTATTCATGAATAAAATACGAAAAGATGATTCACAATTACGTTAGTTGGTGCCTTATTTTTATTTATCATTAATATCTATTGGCACAGCAAAGAGGGGAGGGGAGTGTGGTGTAGGTTGGCCAGGAACACCTTAAAAGCTTCCTGGCCCACTCTAGGATATCAACTAACAAATCTACAATAATTTAAATATATTCTTTTTTGTGAAATTCTTCCAGAAAGTCGTACCTATTACTCCTGTTATTGTGAATAATTTTCAAATTATTTAGCTACTCAATGTTATTCAACGAAATACACGATAAAACTTTTTTTACTTCAAATTTCAAGTTGGTTTCATTGAATAAACAAAATTTTATGAACAAAAACCTTGTTAAGATTATTAAGATCATACTCTTTTAGTTATTGAAAAGCTATCCCTTACACTATGTATAAGTGGCAGCTGCAAATGTTAGGTAGAGTTGTAAATTTTGCCTCCCCTATGAAAACACCGTTGCTCCGAAATTGATTTTTTTATAACACAATAGAAAGTTATATATATAAGAATGACTTAAAAAAAATATTTTCCATAATCAAATTTTTTAAATAGGCATTTGTTAGCGCTATAGAATAAAGATTATCCTAATTTATTGTAGAAAAATCGTTGGCTAAAAGTTCTTAATCATCAGATGCCAAACTTGACAGATGACAATCAGTAAACAAATTTTGTAACCTAAAAGTTTGACGTTTCCTGTTATATGTATAATTTTTGTGTGGTTTTATAAATAAATTTAATTAAAGATGAGTAACATCTATATTTTAGAACCACCTACATCAGGAAAGGTAATTAATTATATTTCATACAGTATGATATTGTTTAAATAACTTTTTCTTCAGGTACTTCTTAAGACAACTGTAGGAGATATCGATGTAGAATTATGGGCAAAAGAGACCCCTAAAGCTTGCCGTAATTTTATTCAACTATGCATGGAAGGGTATTATGATGGAACTATTTTTCATAGAGTAGTAAAAGGCTTTATTGTACAAGGAGGGGATCCTAGTGGTGATGGTACTGGAGGTGAATCAATTTATGGAGAACCTTTTAAAGACGAGTTTCATCAAAGACTTCGTTTTACAAGAAGAGGTCTTTTGGCCATGGCAAATGCAGGCAAAGATGACAATGGGTCACAATTTTTCTTTACTCTTGGCCCTGCTGCCGAGTTACAAAATAAGCACACTTTATTTGGAAAAGTAACAGGAGAAACTCTCTTCAATATGCTTAAATTGGAAGAAGGACTAATTGTAGGAGAGAGACCAGAGTATCCACACAAAATCATAAAGACAGAAGTTCTGCATAATCCATTTCCAGATATTGTACCACGTATTAAAGAAGTAAAAGAAGAGAAAAAGAAGAAGAAGGAAAAAGTACCAGGTGTGAAGTAAGAAGATAGAACTAATTTAGTAAATGTGATTTTTACTTGTGACCATTTATTGCAGGAATTTTAAATTGCTATCATTTGGTGAAGAAGCTGAAGAAGACGAAGAAGAAAATGTAAAAGTTAATGAAAAATTTGCAGGAAAAGGAAAATCTACTCATGATATTCTAGGTATGTGTATAGAAATATCAATTTCATATTGTTTTTCTGTATGATAGTTCATTTTTAGATGACCCTAAACTTAGTTCTGAAACTATTGAAAAGGTACAAGAAACAGAAAGAAATGAAGAGGAAACAGAATCAGATCCTTTAGTGCAGTTAGAAAAGATAAGAAAAAAACTGAAAAGGGATATTAAAAACGAGGATAAACTTCATTCTAAACAAAGCGATAAAAAAGAAGAGAAACCTTCCATTAAGAGGTCATATTTTGAGGATGAAGATCCAGAAGAAGAAAGAAAACGGAAGAAGTATGTTTTGATTGATAAATTTTATAATGTAGGCACTAATTTTAGTAGTTGCGGGCCCTCTAAAATTCCATATTTTTAAAACATGCCAGTGACTTTAAAAGAAAAAAAAAACATCTAGTATTAGTTGTAATAAGTAAAACACGTTAACACTTGCAATATTTGCGGCTCTCGTTTAACAGTTGCTTCTATAATGTTTCTATTTATGAGATTAGTGCATTAATATTGAAACTTACAGAGAAGAAATACAGAAAGAAATTGAGAATGTTAAAAGAGAATATCATAAAAACAAATTACGAAAAAATCAGATTGAGACTGAAGAAAAGAAACAAGAGGAAGAAAAAAGTGAAATCCTTCAAGAGTATCATAATGATTACAAAAAGTATAAAGAACAAAAGAAAGAACTCCCTAAGAAAGGAGCTGGACGGGAACAATTTACTTTAAAACTCTTAGAGAAATTTAAGCAGAAACTGTCCAGTGTTAAGGAAAAACAATCAGAAAATGAAGATGTAGAAACTGCTGAAAGTACTGTAACTGCGGAAATAAATGAAAATGATAATGATGACGATGACGATGAGAACTGGTAAAATATACATTTGAAAAATAAAAATCATTTTTTATTTGTAATTCTGTTTAGGTTGGCACATAAACTTCACTTTAAAGAACCGACACCTACTTTGGCCAAAGACGCGAACATGAAGGGGGATGATTGGTTCGAAATTTATGATCCAAGAAATCCTTTAAATAAAAGGAGACGTGGAGAAGATAAAAAGAAATCTAAAACGCAGTAGTAATTTTTCAGAAAGAATATTAGATAAGATTTAATTATTTTGTAAATACATAATTAAAATTGGTCGATATTTTTATAACTTATGTTATCTAAAATTAGTGCTGTTAATTTAATCTTATAAGTACGTAATTGTAATAAAGAAGGTAAATTCTATAACGCCTTAATTTTCATACCAATGCTACTCACTATATATGGCATATTTTACTTATTCGTAAGTAAAAAGGAGGTTGGACCCCCGCGTGGAAGGTCAGCGACAATTTTACTTAAAACATTTCTGTACTTTAGTCATGTGTGCAGTGATATACTTTTCATTTGATACTATTTACAATAATATATACGTAAGAATTCGAACTTTTTCGTGCAAAATTTTACGAAAATATGTACATGCATTCTTATGACGCACGTAAAAGTCACACATGTGTGAGTGTGAGTGACCGATCGTTCCGCACTCTTTTTAATGAACATTTTTCATCTGCGGTCTACTAAAACACTATTTCCGAATTAATTATGTAGATAAAATTATTATCTTGTCAGTTGAGAATTGTACATCAAGATGTGGAGAATTAATTAATAACCGGGGCAATACTGTTAAAAATTATTAGCGATAAACGTTTGAAAAAATCACTTACCCTTGGTGCTCTACTGCTAACACCTGAAAAAAGAGATTTGGTCAGTCATATTCTAAAAATGTGTATCATAATCGCTTTTTTATATAAAAAGAGTATAAATGTTACCTGAATAGACTCCAAGAGGCGAACTACCCTTCAAATACAATGAAGGGATGAACATAATATTATTGTTTCAAATACACAATATACTGCCAGATTTTTTTTATATATGTACTAGCTTTCCCTTTGCCCCCGGCCATTTTTATTGCTCCACTATGACGTAGTGTCGGCCATCATTCTTTTCTAATTGTTGCAGTTGTCGGCCATCATTCTTTTCTAATTGTTGCAGTTGTCGGCCATCATTCTTTTTCAATTGTTGTCGCATTGTCACTGATGTCGGCCATTATGGTTTTTTCATAGATGTATAGTATTCAATGATTAAAATTTAAAGGAATTGTTTGTAAATAGGTATGCAAAACATCGTAACTTCAGCATAAGAAATTGCTGATACTAACTTTCATTTACATAATACTATTTTGCCTTGTGCTGACAGCACTCATAAATTTTTTTATATATAATATTTGCAAAAGAATATTTCAAATAACACTAACATTCGATTAGGAACAAATGCACTTGTTTGTCAAGAATACCTACTACTGTTTATGTCTACAAATAAATATGCAATACGTGAAAGACAGCAGTAAATGTACTTTTTCAAAAAACAAAATCATACTTTTTATAAATTCAAAATAAACTTTATTTTCCTTTCACATAAAAAAAAATATTTTATAGACGTAATGGGCATGTCTCCCTTAATAAATATCATTAGCGTGACGCCCAATAGTTCATTTTTGATGAATGCGTTTCTGTGTGATATGTGACGTCACATGACGTCAGCTGAAGAAAACTACTAATGAACTCAAACGAAATCTACATCGCTCCCCTATTAAACTATATTGAAATACAGATTACTAGCAGTAAATGTATTTAAGGTTCGAAAATTTTAGAAAATTTTAACAAGCTTTCTTTAAACACTGACCTTGTTCTCTATTTGTTGACTTGCAATTTCCTCAAATTCTACGTAAAGGATTTTGACAGTGAAAGTATCGTAGTTTCAAATTTCAGTAGTATTAATTTGATGAATAAAGATTTATTCGTTCATTATATATGTGTATCACATTGTTTTAATTCTATTTATAGTTCTAAAGAAAAGCGGGTCTAATTGACTACAAACACACTGCCATACAAACAACCAAAAAAATGTTAAAAGGCAGTATGTGGTACTATTAATGTTTTAGCATAAGTTGCTTGTTAATCATAAATGAAATTGATACGTTTGTTTAGTTTTAGAAGGTGGAAACATTTTTAATTATTTTTTTCCTAATAAGTATCTTTTTTCAACTTTGTTGGCAATTAAAAATTAATGTTTTTATGTTTTGTTTGAATTGTAAAGACAATTTTCTATTGCACATTTGCATGTATTATTATTATTTTTTTTTTCATTAGAATTCTCGTTTTACGTACAAATAAATAACTATCGATTAAGTCTGCTAACGATCGACCTTTTGTAAATGAAAACGTGGAAAACCCCTAGACATTTCCTAACACGTTTACGTTTTACCTAATGACAGGTAGTCTTTAATCACCACATTAATTAACAATTTGCCATGAACAATTGCTTAACGTTAGCAACAAAATTATTTCTGGTTTATGTACTAGATAAATAATAATATAAGAAGGTATATAAAACAATAAAAGATTTCGTGATACTACGTTAAAATGTTTTGCAAAAACAAATAGACTATGAAGTAAGTCGGCGCAATTATGGTATAAAGTATTGTTAATTATTATTTATACAAAATACTGTATAAATTATACACATAATGGTATTAAATGATAAACGGATGATATTTATGAATATATTTAAATGCATGTACTTATTAAAATTATTTAATTCTGGTAAAATAAAGAAGGGTGTGATTTATTACTTCGGCTGAAGATTACTTTCTCTTTATTATTTTATTGGAGGGAGATAGATAATTCGTAAAAGTAGATATGTATTTGATAAACTTAAGCACAAATAGTAGTAGGTGTACAGTGCATCAACGTTAGATCATTGCGCTTCTTCTAATTTTTATTATATGCCTGTGTTAAAACAGATTAATAATTTGAAATGAGACGTAAATATGCCGACTGTCTAATAATTTGGAAAAAGTACTTACTATCTTGATTAATAATGTGCTAATTCAGTGAGTTCGTCATCTTTTTTCTTAAAAAAATGGAAAACAGGAGTAGCATTGAAGGTGAGTGTTAAGTACAGATTAATGTTATCATTAAGAAAATATGCAAGAAACAAACAAATAAATTTATACAAAAGAATAATTATATGTATTTAAGGTATATTAGGCAGATTCTTTGAAATTATTTAGTTTCAGTTTATTTAATTTTCAACAAAGAAAAAATTTTAATTATGCACACCAGTATTTCTATCACTTACTAAAAGTATATTAGTAGACAAAGGAAGAATGTATTACATGAAGAATGTAGTTGAAGACATATTATTAAATTTTGATTATTTTATTTAAACAGAAAAGATAATACATGAAATATTTCAGTTTGATCCGATAACACTAACTTCAATATTAAATTAGTGATGTGTTATTTATTGTAGGTTGCTACACTTTGAAGAGTTATCTCATTTTTGAATAAGGACACTGAATTGCCCTTGTTTACCGTCTGACCCACTTTGTTTTCAAATTTTATTTATATATTTGTCTCGTATAAGATACTTATGGCAAAACGAAACCTTTTCTGTACTGTTTATCTATTATGTCATCAATTGTTCGTAATATGTTGGTTTTGTGCCTATTTAGGATTTCTTTAATTTTTATGAATTAGTATAGCAGGATTATCACACACTGGTTCCGAAGAATTTTTTAAAGTCTGCGTAGGGTCATTAACTTGTTTATCACATTTTAAAAACAAACTATTGGGCTAAACATGCTTATTCCAATCTCAGNGCCCAGCTAGGATTCGTTTGACTTTCAAACTACGTGGTAAATTTTTGACCTAGAGTTCTGAATCTGGCCCGTCTGCGCCTTCGTACTAAGTCCACATAATTGCCGATAGCTTTGGATCGAAAGGTCCAATTCCGATGAATGTACCGCCAAAATTTTTTAGATACTCAGAATTGAGACAAGCACAGAATCGTTTTCCTAACACTGATATCTTTAACAATGTAGCTTCCGAATATGTTTACTCACGTCTTCATAATGTTATTTATGTTTATGTTTTCGTTATCGGTGTAATCGTTTTACTTTAGTGATTGTCATTAACAATTATAAAAACCGCCCTTGCGGAAGTAACAGCTTTACTTTATTTTAAACAGTTTTCTTCTTTATTTAATGGACTATAATCATATATTTAATGATAATGCATATGTGGTCAATTTACTTTTGTATGCAACATGAAAACGTTTATTATTTAAACAATAAGTGCGCCGTTTGGTAAATTGAAATTATTCAAAAATAAGTACACTGAATTTTGACTCGTTTTGTCTTTTACAACATAAAACATAAAAGAACACGTGCGAACTTAACTATTCTGATAACAAAACATTTGAAAGTCAATTGTTCATAATGACATAAAATGTTCATTAAGTAATTAATATGACGGCTTACACAATAAACATTTCTTATAACAGACGTTACAATAGAAATGCGTTAAACAAGACAAGAACGTTTTATTCTTTAATGGTTTTAGAAGTAGCATGAACGAAATACATGTAAATCTGTATTGAAGACAGAATACTGTAATTTTAAATAACTTTATAAACGATTTTACATTACAATTATACCGAAAAATTTTTTACTGGTGTGTATTACCAAATACCTTTTTCGTTTTAAAACCACCAGAGAAATAATGACTCATCAGTGCTTTTCTATATTTGCAAAAATCCCATAGGATTGCTGTATTTTATGTTTATTTTTCATTACTGCTGGAACAGTTGTTTGGCTCAGAAATTTCAATTTGCAAATGTTGGTTTATTTAGTTTCATTTATTCCAGTTTCAGTGATTACAGAAAATTTCTACCTGATATTCAAGTGGCAATATTGGAAAAAAATCTACAACCTTTAAAGAATATGGCTTACTCTTAACTTAAATTAAAAGTAGGCGAAAAAAACTATGGACCATATGAGTTTTTGCCTGCAATTGAAATGAATGCTTTATTGAAGTCGACGACTAATTGAATGTTTAGCAGAGTACACTTAGCGAACTATTAAAGATAGTGCAAAAATTTGTTCACAAACATTTGAATAGGAAATAGTTAATTTTGAAAGAAATTTAAAAATTTCTTGTCAATGCCAAATGTGACCGCAGGCATCTTATGACATTCGCGGAGAGATGCAACATCCACCTTTGAAAATTTTTTTCTAAAAATACCTACAGTTTTCCAGCTACTGTATAACACAGTCAATTTAAAAGATGTGAGGTCATGGGTATGGCGGTTAAAAATGTATAACTCGGCAGCGATACGACACCAGCCAAGACTTGTTCGAAGCCCAAAAGACATGGCAAATTTTTGACCTAAAGAGTTCTGAAACTGGACAGTCCGGGCTTCAGCTACAACCGGCCAAATCCCCGCTATTTTCCTTACTTTCGTACTGTTGTTTTCCTAAGTCCACAAAATTGCCGATCGATAATTTTGGATTGAAAAGTCCGATTCTGGTGAGAGTAATACCAAAATTTTCTAGAGATACCTACGATTGAAATAAACCTAGAATCGTCTTCCTATGTCGTACCGTTTTACTGTTGAAAATGTTGTAGTCTTGCTACAATATTGAAATCGAGGGCTAAACGTTTAGGACAATATTCCTGTCGAACTGCTAAAGTGCTAAAGATATCGTAAAAACCCATTCACAGGTAGTTGACCTGTCCCTTCGTGAATAAGACAGAGTTAATTTTAAAGGAAAGAAGTTTCCAAAATTATTAAAAATTTTGAATTTTCTATCAGTAGCAAAAGAAATAGTGCGATGATCGCAGCTAGGATTCGTTCGACTTCTAAACTAATTTTTGACCTAAAGATTTCTGAAACTGGACAGTCCGACCTTGAGCTACAACCGACTTAATCTCCTCTATTTTCCCTCACTTTCATACTGTTGTTTTTCTAAGTCCACAAGATTGCCGATAATTTTGGATTGGAATGTCCGATTCCAGTGACAGTGCTACCAAAATTTTTTAGAGATATCTACGATTGAAATAAATCCAGAATTGTCTTCCTACGTAGTACCGCTTTACGGTTATCTGTATTGAAAATGTTGGGGCTAAGCTACAATATTGAAATCGAGGACTAAACGTTTAGGACAATATTTCTGGCGAACTGTTAAAGATATCTCAAAAACCCATTCACAAGTAGTTGACCCGTCCCTTTGTGAATAAGACAGAGTTAATTTTAAAGGAAAGAAGTTTCCAAAATTATTACAAATTTCGAATCTTTTATCAGTAGCAGATGAGACTGCGCGATGAGCCCAGCTAGGATTCGTTTGACTTTCAAACTACGTGGTAAATTTTTGACCTAGAGTTCTGAATCTGGCCCGTCTGCGCCTTCGTACTAAGTCCACATAATTGCCGATAGCTTTGGATCGAAAGGTCCAATTCCGATGAATGTACCGCCAAAATTTTTTAGATACTCAGAATTGAGACAAGCACAGAATCGTTTTCCTAACACTGATATCTTTAACAATGTAGCTTCCGAATATGTTTACTCACGTCTTCATAATGTTATTTATGTTTATGTTTTCGTTATCGGTGTAATCGTTTTACTTTAGTGATTGTCATTAACAATTATAAAAACCGCCCTTGCGGAAGTAACAGCTTTACTTTATTTTAAACAGTTTTCTTCTTTATTTAATGGACTATAATCATATATTTAATGATAATGCATATGTGGTCAATTTACTTTTGTATGCAACATGAAAACGTTTAACCGATTACAATAATCCAGGTAACCTGAGTAAATGTTACAAGAATTTCTGTAGATGCTAGAGGGCTTTTTTGTATCTAAACTGAGTTATTATATAAATATGAGGAACCTTACAGGTGTGAATTGGTATTTTTTTAATCAGTATAATTCCAATTTATTTACTTCCCTTTATTGGCTAATTTTAAGATTGTCCCCTAGATTTATTTGTGTTTATTGTTTCCAGAATGCCCCCTTAAACATCAGCAGTCCTACTGCAAACGTAAACCCAGATCTTTTAAGGGTCCTTTAAGATTAGTACGGCTTTGTTTACTGAGCATTCTTCTACCCATTATATTAGTTGCATTACCGCTATATTTAAGGTACCATGTATATGGCGACCAGCTCTATCCATTCGCCATGTCTGATATGAGACTACTTGATAATAAGGTGTCTACTGTATGGTGCCAGGTATTCTTTTACTGTTATTCAATTTTTTATACCGCATAATATGCTCATTGTAACAAAAAAAATCGTTGTAATCCACGTTAAATGTTATATAGAAATGTATATCGTTTTAAAAATGTTAACATTAACTAACTTTAAAGACGTAAAATTTCATTTTTCTTAAATAGAATCTTTTATAAAGCTTTACATTATAACCGAAAAGTAATTCAGTATCGATTTCTTTTGTTATTTTTGACGAGAGGTCTGATTTCAGTCTAGTCAATAAGTACCCTTTTTAGGAATCCTACATCGTCTTTACTTGAAACTATGGTAAATAAAAGTTGTTAACAATTTAGTGGTGTAAAAAAGGATTCAGTTTTTTGCGAAGATGTCGAAAACTATTACAGATATTACAAATTAAAAAAAGATACTTAAAGAGCAAGAAATTTACTATTTCTTTTGTTATTTCGGTATTTACCATAAAAGAATGAAACTTAAAGTCTGTGTTTATTATTGTTAGGAAGGCGAAGTCTCGTTTTAATTAATTTATAATTTGTAGCAGTAGAAAACATCTTAACTTGGATGAATTTTATATAAGTAATGACGATTTTGTAGTCGAATGTTTCCGATCAGGTTGATTCAAAACCTTTTTTCTTCTTATATTAAATAAAGTAAACTATTCGAATATCGATCACACACAATATTAATTATGTATATCTAGACCCTAGATTCTAGAGTTTAATAATGCATAATACGTATTGACTTTTAGAGACAATTAGTAAAAGTAAATACAACTTTTAATGCATTCTTGTTACCAAATGAGCCGAAATTAGCCGATAAAGTTAAAAATGTATCAATGGAACGTCATCTAGAGCTAGACGACGATATGAAGGAATATTGGGGATTTTATTTATTAAAAGGTTCTTCCATTACGATATCTGTTTGCTCGAGGTAAGTACACAGAGAAATAATACTAAGATTTTCTATTTGTATTTCCTAAAATCCCTTGACAATTTCACAGCAAATACTTAAAAGTAGCTTTTGTCTTCGACTTCCTTCGTAAAGTTTTTCAATAGGTCCTAAAAATCTCAGCTTCTACAGATAGAACATATGGACGATTTCAAAGTCAAATAAATGGGATTCTAATCATTCTCACTTTATTTGATACTAAACCTATTGTAGCGAGCACGAGTGTGTTTGTGTGCGATCGGGCACACGTGTGCGTGAACGGCTTATCGATTCGCCGACAGGCCGCGGGCGCCTTTTTTCATGTGCGCCGTATTTGTAAATGTGTGTGTCGTACCTGCGTTCTGGGAAAGCAGTTAAAACAGTTCAAAGAAAAAAGAAACTTTCCGGACGTTTCGAGAAGGTTCCCGAAAGTAAACAAAAGTGTATTTAAAGGAAGATCGCCGAGAGGAAGAAATAAATTGACCGTTGCAGAAGTGAATCGGAAAATAAATTGACAGTGGTAGCAGTAAAATAAATAGCACAGTAAATTGTGATACATCAATAATTAGTGTAAATAAATAGTTTTTGTCGTTATCATTCTGAGAGCTAATTTTGTTAAACCCACGAACTTTGCACTATCAAAATAAAGCCTTCTTTGAAGTATGATTGAATGTTAATGATGGGACATCAAACAGCACACTCAAAGATTAAAAGCCATAGTTAACTCATAAAAACCTTGATGTCCAAATAGAACGGATTACGACTTAAAAATTCTCAGTCAGTTAGTCAACAACATATTATAAGCCATCATATCAAAAAAAATACTTGACAATATCAGGCCAAAAGTTCACCAATTAACATCCGCACTCGGGAGGTCACTATGACCATACCAACCTTTAAACGTTGGTACCCCATTGTCCTTCGATTGATTTGGTATCATTCAATGTTGAGATATGATTAGCAACGAATAAGTTATTCGACTCATTTATTCTATCTACGTATTACAGACTGTAGTTACCTAATCCATGTTTATTAAATATAGTTCAAAGCACTTATAAAACGTTACTTCGTTTCTTTAAAAATAGAGTAATCATTTAACTTCAATTTTTCCTAAGCATTGAAGGTTGATTGCTCACTCTGCCACTTGTGATCACCACCAGATGCGGAGGACAGTAGGTATACAAACCCCTTCGAGTCATAAGCTCTGGTAGCAGTCCGTTCTAGCTGCTTAAAACTGGAAGCAGCTACTTCCTTTGTGTTGAAAACTTAGCCTTTGTGGGGTTTTATACTCTAAAGTCGACTGGCGACAATTAGTGGTCGATGTAAGCTGTGGGTTGGACATGCACCTCCACCCCTTCTTATCCTGAGTTACACCTCGCATCTCCTTAAAACTAGAATATCCTACATCCTTAATTATTTGTGAACTAATCTAGGTCTACCTCTACCCCTCTTATCTCCTGTTTCTGCTTCCAATAGTCTCCAACCAGCTCTTCATGCTTGGGGTGTCTTAATTGCATAAGGAAAATTGGTCTATTCAAAAATAATATCAATGCTTTTCGTCGACGCGATATATGTATAGGGGTTGCGTTTTGGTTTTCTTTTTGTTTTTTTATTTTGCGTTTCAGTATAGGTGGCCTGGGGCGTCACTGATTGTAATTCGAGGTCATAAAAATCTACATGAGTGTGCTTACATCGGGGACGATTCTTCAGAAGAAATAGAGGAATTAATGGAAAATATTCGCGAAGGGGTGCCGTTTGCAAGCAGTCAAGAATCTGCCAGCAAAGCCATATCAAATAACCCTAAAATGATGAAAAAACACAGAGGCGGGGTAAGAAAATTTGTAACGAATTATGCATCGTTTTAAAACAAATAAAAGGGAAGAATTGTTTTAACATTTAGAAGAAATCTAGCTTGCTTTATTAATAATTAATTACGCCTTATAGATAAAGGAAAGAAATGGAAATAATGTTTAGTAGAAGATCGAATTGCTTTCTTATAGTATTTTATACACTATTGTTTTTACGAATCTAACGGTAAATGAAAAATAAAAATTTTGTAGGTGAAATTTCACCATCCTCATCATTTAACAGACCAGCAACTCCATGCTGTTGACGAAATTGCTACGGACATTTCTGATACTGCAAATCCGAAAGTACTAAAGGAAATATTGCAAATTCTTGCGTTGAAAACCGAAACACAAACCAAACGGAGACAATCTATGAAACTGAAAAATAACGAACCGGAAGAAGTCAAACATGCCGATCGCTACAAGAATAACGAGAAAAACACCATGAAAATCCAGCATATGCTAAGTCAGGTATGAAAACATAACTTCTTATTCTCGTATGACTCTTTTTATTGGGAAATTAATTTATATCACTGCTCAGACATCTCATTTTTGCAATATTTATACCATCTGCCTTTTGTCCTTACGTCCGTTTTTAAAAACACTCGGTGATTTTCAGTTACAGACATTACTATACGATCTTCAACAATTGTTTCTGTTGTTGAGATACTATTCATAATCATATCATTAAATGTGTTGAAATATGATAACAATGGACTATTTTTTCACGGTAGACTAGTTTAAATTTACAATATTTTGCTTATATTTCAGGATCCTTCTCAAACTTACGCACTAACATCATCGGAAACTGCACTATTAGATAAGATAAAATCAAAAATTTTTCAAAGCAAAACACACAAAAATCCAACATCAACAGATTCCACTTTAGACCGTACCGTAACAGTAAAAAGCGAAGTAGAAATTACTTCTCCAGAAGTAGAAAGTACTACCCTCGAGAGTTTGACCACATTCGAAGAAGGGAAAACCTCCTCAGAAGGTGTTTACGCGACGGTCGAACAAATGAAGTCCGAGTCCGATGAAATAATCGATGAATTATACAGAAGGCTGGGGTCACTCGGAACTAAAAAGTACCATGCTTTAGAAAAACTGAATCAACGGGTTATCAAGAAAAAGTTGGAGGACGAAAATTCAAAATCGACTGTACACAAAAGGCGAAAAAAAGATTTGGATTCGTTGATGAGTGAACTAACTTTACACGACGAGCAACGAGATTTAGGAATAGAAGAGGCAAGTAAAGTAGAATAATACATATGCGGGGTCTCCCTTCAGAAATAATTAGAAAATGAAAAAAATCAAAGGTTTAGTTGAATTTTGTTTATAATTATTCGAAAAATTTACATATATATGTAGGATTTGGATTATTATAATATATAGTTGCTTGCCCAGGTGCAATAGCGATACCAGTTAGGTGGTGGTAGGTCGATAATTTATTTTTACCTTCGCGTGCATGTTGGGGTACGCGAGAGACCACCAGAGTAGAGAGAGTAAAAGACGATCAAGGTACGAACACGTTGCTGTAAGACGGTACATTTTATTTAGACGGAGCATTTTTGCCAAATCAAAGACGAAAGACATATTTTTGGCTATTAATTAAGACGTGTACATTTGAAGACGCGATACATTGTAAATAAGTTGTTCCTGATATTTATTTCTGTTATTCGTTTTGATGTTTGATGTTCGTTGTTGTTTTTCTACATTATTAATATTATTATATATTTATCAAATCACCCCGAGCCTTTTATCAACCAACACCTAGACACGAGAAAAAGCCTACATATAGATAATATTCTACAGATTCTGGTATTTTTGCCCAAAGTATATGTAGTATTTTTAGTCATTAAATGTGTCAATCAAAGCCAAAACGTTCCCAACTGTCAGGCTTTCTTAAAGTTAATTACCTTTTTAAATTAACGAAGATAGAACCTACATAGACAATGTTTTTTTGTAAAGGTTTTAATCAAATATTCTTTAGCAAGTGTTTATGGGATTAATGCAGCTGTAGCTTCCGACATAGTAACAATATTACTTTTTTTACCACGTCGGTTTGGTTGTTTACATTGGAAAATTTTATTCCTAATACCTGCAATTGTGTTAAATACCTTAATAAACGTAAAACAAGAGTAGCACAATCCAGAATTATTTAATACTCAAATATTTACTTAATACTTATATACAAAACACATTAAGTTCACTGTTTTGTATCTCATATTACGAGAACATTTTTGTTTTGGTGTATAAAATGTGAAAGTCACTTTGATAAGAACTATATTTAGTAAATAACTAATTAGAGGCATTAATTCATAAAAAATAATCCAAGGTATTAAACTTTACGAGAGTTATCGGCTTAGACAATTTGTTGATTTTGCAATTAGTGCATATTTTTGTAAATTCATCAGAAGGTAAATATGAAATAAAATAAGCAAAATTTTACACGTGCGGGACTCGATCGAATTCATTCTTATTTCAACATATAACAAAAATATGCCAAAAATCGCCCAATTTCTCGCTCTGATTTTGTTTTAAACTAAGTGTTAAGTGAACTGTTGAAATGGAGGTGGTTCTTCCATCGCCGATGCAGGATGTGAAAGAAACCCTATTTTTTTTTTTATTTTTGAACACTGTATAGGAAATCAAATATAAATAACAAAGAGGATGTTGTATTGAAATATGAAACAAGTTTTGTTTGAAAAGTGAATGAACATACTGCGTACTTTTTGTGTCACCCTGTATTTGTATTTACATACTTTTGTTTTAAATAGGAGGTCGATGTTGATGGGATAATTAAAGGTAGGATAAACGAAACTACGCCCAACGACATGAGTAACAGCGAAATCTGGTCATCATTTTCAAGTTCCGAAGAAGCCCTATTGAACTGTTCAGGACTCATTTTAAATCTTCCTCTTACGCCACACACCCAGTGCTCGAAAAATTCAAAGGACATATACGATGCCTACCTTACTAATACCATAACTTATGTGTAAGTGTAATTTCTATGTTGGGTGAATGTTTTGCCTTACGTGTGTATTACTTTGTCCAACTCGAGAGCTTTTGCAATAATTTTTTTTTCGTTGAACATCACTTAATATGCGGTTTGAGACATTTTTTACTTTTCTTTCCTATTTTAAAGTATATAATATATGCATTAAGATTATTATGGAATCTAAGGTAGTTTGGGTTATATGGACTTCAAAATGTACAATGACGTGGATCATCCTTGAACCACGCAAAATAAAAAATTTGCCAAGTACCTGACAGTACGAGGTCTGTTCAAAAAGTTTGGCGAATTTTAAATTTCAGCGGGATACGTATATTCGATTTTCGATTTTTTTGTGGCGTTATGTTCGCACTCATGCCTCTCATTTATATTGACAAGTTCGTCCATGGTGAATGTTCAGTTAATTTTTGACAGCTGCTTTGCTTGTACTAGGGTCAATTGAAAAGTCCCCGGCCTGACACATAGATGGCGGCACCAGAACTAAATCCATATGATTTTCAGTTAGTCCTAACCTTCAAAAGACGCGTCTATAAATTTGACGGCTGTCGGATCATTAGTTTGTGAATTATAGCATTTTTAGTGAAGCAACTTTTGTTATTGTGAAAAAAATGGATAAAAAGGAATTTCGCGTGTTGATAAAATATTGCTTTTTGAAGGGAAAAAATACAGTTGAAGCAAAAACTTGGCTTGATAACGAATTTCCGGACACTGCCCCAGGAAAATCAACCATCAAGGATTGGTATGCTAAGTTTAGACGTGGTGAAATGAGCACCGAAGACGGTGAACGCAGTGGACGCCCAAAAGAGGCTGTTACGGACGAAAACATTAAAAAAATCCACAAAATGATTTTGAATGACCGTAAATTGAAATTGAATGAAATAGCAGACACTCTACAGATATCAACGGAACGTATACATCACATCATTCACGAATATTTGGGTATGAGAAAGCTCTGTGCAAAGTGGGTGCCGCGCGAGCTCACTTTTGACCAAAAACAACGACGAGTTGATGATTCAGAGCAGTGTTTGAAGATGATCACGCGTAATAAACCCGAGTTTTTGCGTCGATATGTGACAATGGATGAAACATGGCTCCATCATTTCACTCCGAAGTCCAATCGACAGTCATCGGAGTGGACTGCACACGATGAACCCGCTCCAAAGCGTGCAAAAACGCAACAGTCGGCTGGCAAGGTTATGGCGTCTGTATTTTGGGATGCGCGTGGAATAATTTTCATTGACTACCTTGAAAAAGGAAGGACCATCAACAGCGACTATTACATAGCGTTATTGGACCGTTTGAAGGACGAAATCGCCGAGAAACGACCGCATTTGCAGAAAAAGAAAGTCCTGCTTCACCAAGACAATGCACCGTCTCACAAGTCAGTGAAAACGATGGCAAAAATTCATGAATTGGGCTTCGAATTGCTTCCGCATCCACCGTATTCTCCAGATCTGGCCCCCAGCGACTACTTCCTGTTCTCAGATCTCAAAAGAATGCTCGTTGGGAAAAAATTTTCGTCGAATGAAGAGGTGATCGCCGAAACTGAGGCCTATTTTGAAGCAAAGGACAAATCGTACTACAAAAATGGTATCGAAAAGTTGGAGGATCGCTATAATCAGTGTATCACCCTTGAAGGGAATTATTTTGAATATAAAAAACGAATTTTGCAAAAAAAATTTGTTTTACTATTTTAGGCCGGGGACTTTTCAATTGACCTGTTACGTGTTTTCGCTCGTCTTCGATTTTTGACTATTCCAAAAAATGGGTCAAAGAATCTGTATCAAATTTTGTTTGAAAAACAAAATAAAGTGCGCGGAGGCATTCTGAATGTTGAGTGTGGCATATGGTGAAGCTAATTTGGACCGAAGCAACGTTTATCGGTGATACAAATTGTTATCAGAGGACCGAGAAGATGTGAACGAAGAAGAGCGTGTCGGATGCCCGAGCACGTCAACAACAGACTAAAATATTGATGAAGTAAAGAAAGTATTTAGCATTGACCAATCGTCGAATCACCGTTAGAAAAATTGCTGAGGACCTACTCATATCGATTGGCCCCTGCCATTCGATTTTTACCAATGATTTGGATATGAGACGGGTCGCCGCGAAATTCGTACCAAAATTTCGAACAAAAACAGTATCGCATTAACACTACTAAGGAGTTGTTGGACTCTGTCCATGGTGACCCAAATTTGTTCCAGGGGGTCATAACTGGTGACGAATCATGGATTTATGGTTATGACGTGGAAACCAAAGCTCAATCATCCCAAAGGAAGCTGCCGCACGACTCAAGATCGAAAAAAGTGCGTCAAGTTAGGTCGAATGTGAAGGTTTTGCTTACAGTTTTCTTCGATTTCAGGGGCGTGATGCATCATGATTTCTTGCCACAGGGTAGAACGGTCAATAAGGAATATTACCTGAAACTAAGTAATTTGCGTGAAGCAATCAGCCAGAAACGGGCGGAGATTTGTGGAAGAACAAAAATTGGCTTTCGCACCATGATAACGCCCCTGTTCACACATCATTGCTTGTGGGCGCATTTTTAGCCAAAAACAACAGTTTAATAATGCTGCAGCCAGATCTGGCCCCCTGTGACTTTTCTTGTTCCCGAAACTGAAGAGGCCCATGAAAAGACGACGCTATGCAACGATTGAGGAGATAAAGACGGAATCGACGGAGGAGCTGAACAAGATCACAAAAATGACTATTTGAAGTGCTTCGAGGATTGGAGAAAACGTTGGCACAAGTGTATAGTATCTGGTGGGGATTACTTTGAAGGGGACATTTTTGAAAATTTGCGATAGTTTTTGAACAGACCTTGTAGACCTCAAAATGTACAACGACGTCGCTCATCCTTGAATTGCGCTAAGGGTAATTTTATTTTTATTTTGTGTTACAGGGTTCCAACAAACGGTTACTATTTTTTCGTTTTTAACAGCGAAAACGAAATCCAAACCAACTACATCAGGGTACAGTTCAATTTTACAAAAACCGTTTATAACGTTTCTCAATCGGTAATGATGTGCGAGAACAAAACCAATTCTTGTGCTTTGGATCTGAAATTTTTCTCAAACGAACGGCTCGTTATGGAACTGCCTGTAATGAACAACGAATCGTTGTGGAACGAAGAGTTCATAGTAATTTCCGAATGTCAGCCAAGGACAATTTTGTACACTATTTGCGTACTAACCGTGCCAATTCTTATTATTGTTTTTGCATTTCAATAAACCAAAAAAGCAATTGTTGTAGGACACATTAATTAGGTGCCTTAATATCTATGATACCTTTACGCATAGAATATCCTGAATAATTTCCATTTCTTCTCCTTAGTTTAGATATGAGTATAAATCAGATCCAGTAACGGTATAAAGTTTATTTATATCACTAAAAAACCAACTTCAATGTTTTGCTTCTTGTTGTGAGGCTTGATATGATGATTATTATCAATCCAAACGATATTGTGGAGCCAATAAATAATTTAGTGAAAATATTCCACTATTATTTGTTTTATTTTATTAAATATTAATTGTCACGATGTGGTTACGAAGATGTTTTATAAGACTGAGATGGGTTAACTTTTAATTCTTTTGTTGTTATTAAAAAGTAAATCTTAGATGAATTATTGGAAAACTTTTGATGGCAAAATAAATGATCCCGACAAAACAAGCGAAAAACGTAATTAAACGTAAAGTTAAAGTTGCAAATAATTTTATTGGGCACAATGATCATTTCACCACACAGTTGAACAAATACACCTCTTTCCACTTACTTTAGGTAAAACAAGTACTAGTTCTACCAGTGGCTTTTTCAGATGGATGAAATACTGCTTCTCCCACTGGCTTGATTAAGTTGAATAAGTAATATTTCTTCAGGTGGAAGAAGTACTACTTCTTCTATTATAGTGCCTTCTTAAGGTGGAAGAAATATTACTTCCTTCAGTGGCTTGTTCTGGTGGAAGGAATATTATTTCTTCCAATGGTTCCTTCAGGTGGAAGAAGTATTAGTTCTTCCAGTGGTTTGTTCAGGTGGAAGAAATACTACTTCCTCCAGTGGCTTGTTCTTCTAATGGTTTCTTTAGCTGGAAAAATACTCGTTCTTCCAGTGGTTTGTTCTGGTGGAAGGTATATTACTTCTTCCAGTGATTTCTTTAGGTGGAAGAAATACTGGTTCTTCCAGTGGCTTGTTCTGGTGGAAGAAATATTTCTTCTTTCAATGGTTGCTTTAGGTGGAAGAAACACTAGTTCTTCCAGTGGCTTGTTCTGGTGGAAGGAATATTACTTCTTCCAAAAGTTCCTTTAAGTGGAAGAAATACTAGTTCTTCCAGTGGTTTGTTCAGGAAGAAGAAATACTCTTTGTTGGAGTGACCTCTTCAGGTGTTTTTTTCAACCGGAAGTATACTATTTTTTTCACCTGAAGAAGCCACTGTGAGGTACACTGATCATTTTGGTCAAAATATTTAGTAACATCAACTTTCTGTTTAATTTCGTTTTTAATATGGAGTCACAAGAACTTAAAACTTTCTCGATTCATTATTCGATTTATTTTAATGACTTAAACGAGCTGATCGGTTTTCTACAGGGGATAGATACTAACTAAGATATATAATGAGAAAAATAAAAATAAAATTTGTATACAATACTGATTAAATTTATCATTATAAATGTAGATTTCGGTTAACTTTGATTATAACGAAGAAATATTAGTTAAAATTTCCTTTATAGAATAAGGAAACGAAAAAAAAATATATTAATTAGCTAACTCCTATCGGTGTATGGTAAAAAATGTTCTAAGTTTTGTTTAATAACTGAAATATTATTATTAGTGTAAAATTAAACAAGATAATGATAGATTTACAGTTTAAGTATTTTGATGAATATTGTTAAAAACCTGTTGCTTTAAAATAAAAAAAAATGAAGTTGTAGTTCTATAATTATGTCTTTTCGTATTTACGTAGTACTTATAACCAAATAATATGGATAATAAAGATCTTTTAGGCAGTTAGCATGCTTAATGTTGTTTTAAATTAGATTAGTTTTGAAACAATTACCTACCTGATGTTACTGTGATAATTGTAGTTTTAAGTTATTCTTTATATACTCTGATACATTATAGTTGTAAAAATAAAATTGTTATGAATAATTACAGTTTTACTTTTCTTATTTATAAACATTTAGAGGCAAATAAGGTAAAAATTCACTTGAATTTTTTTTAAAAGCATTGCGAAATCAAACCATTTTCTTACGATGTTAAAACGTTTTAATTTAAAGTGAAATGTCGCGAAAAACAATTGCAAATTTCACATTTCATTTAAAGGGAAAACATTCCTTACAAATATTAAACTTTATTGCAATAACGAAAAAATCTTGGGGGGCTGGTACAACAGCCCGACGGTGGAATCTATTTTCAACCGCGCTCGGACTACAAACCTTCGAGGACACTCCATGAAGCTGAACTTGAGTCGAATCCGTAGGCCGCTTAGGAAACACTTCCTAGCGAACAGGGTTGTTCTGAAATGGAACAAAATCCCTGCAAACATCATCAACTCGGACACGATTCCCAGCTTCAAAACAGCCCTGCAACGACACCTGCTAGGCGGGAGAAATTGAACCCTCGATACCGACGACACCTGCTATCCAACTACAGTCCTTCTCTCTGTACCAAATGACTTTCTTCTTGCTAGTCTAGTTTATATCAATTAACTTCTGTGATATTATTTTTGTAGCTTCACTTATTATTATGATAATGTAACACATGATGTAGATATTACCAGTTTTGTACTGCTGCCTTCTACTAAATAAACATAAACATAAACATAAACATAAACATGATAAAACATAATACAATCCAACCCAAGTCAATCCAGCGCAATCTAA